GGGGGGCCGGCCCCGCCGCCGCGCCGCTTCCTCCGAGCCCGAAGCGGGGGCTTCAAGAAAGGAGGCGGAATTAGCCAAACAAGATAATGAAGGTTGCTCATCATGGTTTTTACTGTGGGGAAGATTAACCAGTTGCTAATAATTGTACGGTCTCTAGGCCAGACGGTCCCTTTGATAAGTTAACATGTACTCCCTTTATGCTCCTGGTAGGGGGTAAACAAATGCCTGAACAAATACAAATACACATAAACACAAATGTGGAGAATAGCGGTATATGTCTTAGATCCAGATAATAAGTGTGGGTATTGTTATTTAGATGGCGCATACTGGGACACTTATCTTTTAGTACACTCCATTTTCTAACTGAATGCAGTGCTAATCGTGGGATTGAAAGCTATTGTAATTGTGTACCCATCTAAACACTGACAAGAATATACAATTACATTGTTTGGAATTGAGTTTAATGTTCTCTGAATTTTATTAGCATTTATATTTACTTATGCATTAAAATTCTACACAAAAAGAGGTCAGAACATAAGAGTTATAGACATAAATATCAGACCCATCCACACCCTCGCTGCATTTTTCCTGAAAATACTGAACAAATTTATTTTATTTTATTTTGTTTTTAAAGGAAGTGATAGAATCTGAAATGAGCAAATAATGGGTTTCCATTCTAAGCAATGCCTTTTCTCCCTCTGGATTTTGCAATCTTTTAAAGCTTTTTTCATACCCAACTTTTTATTATTATTTATAATGTGCGTGTTACTGGAAAATCTTTCCACAGTATGCTTACCACTACACGATGTTTAAACACACATTATAAAGTGGATGTAATTGTAAACACTCAGAGGGATATAATTACATGTAGCAGATTTAGGAGCTAATTCTTTGCTTCTCTCTCTCTCTCTTTCTCTCTCTTTTACTCTGCATTTTATCAACATAATTATTTTTTGACTGCAGACTAACACCCAGAAATTGACAGGCAGCCATTATAGGCAGCAACTTGTTCACCAAATTGAAAAACAATGAACTGCAGGTTTATATGTGCCCATTGTCATACAAAATTACCGGGGCTTTGTTCCACAAGAGGAAAAAGCTAATGGTTTTGAAACAGCAGGTGACAAAACACATTCTTTATTCCCCCCCCCCCTTTTTTTTTTTCCCTCCCCTCTTATCAGTTTGTTGATGAAGTCATTACGAACTGGGGCCCAGAATAGGGTTGGCCTTATTTTTAGCAGATAGACTTTTAATGAGTTCTATTGTGGAGCCAGTCATGTTGATTTGCTTACATTTTTTTTTTCCCCCCCTTCACTCAGAAACTCCCAGTATTGAAAAGCTACTATCAAAGGACTGGAAAGACAAGCTTCTTGCCATGGGATCAGGGAACTTTGGAGAAATAAAAGGTAACGCTGTTTCTGTGCTAAAGCAAACTGAGAATGAATACACAAATATCATAGGCTTTATGGAACTTTGTTTGCTCCTCTTCCCTTCCTCTCCCCTGGAAACATAGTAATTTGGGGCTTAAATGAAATGTATGTTCTCCATCTGTGATAATGTAACTAGACGAAATGGTATATTGCCCTAAGTAAATCAACCTACATAAAGCTTTTGTTGCGTATATCGTTCTGTGAGGACACATCCTATTGCTGGATTGGAAAAAAAAAAAGTCAAATCGCAGATCAAACACAGGCTTACACGGTATAAGAGTACAGCAGAGCTTAGCTTCTGAAATCTGAGGATGATCAGAAGTCCTTGTTAATTTTTGGACAGATTTTGATGATGTAGATTTTTTTAACTTTTCTGTGTGTAGGAAAAAAACCAAGCTACCAGCAAAGTTTGTGTAATGATACCTCTAGGTACCGAAATTAGCCAGTGCAGATTTTAAAAGACAGCGTACAACATCTGTGCACTAAGGCATGTTCTTTTAAAGCTGTACTCCAGAAGGAAAATGACAAAATTTGACCACTCTCCAGCAGCAGTAGCTTCTGTGTTGCCAAGATATTTCCCCATTTTATGTATGTGAGGTCATTTTAGGGAACCTGTAGTTGTTTGTTTTCATGTAATTTAATAATTTTATAATTCTACCTCAGTGCTTGCAATGAGGAACTGACTCAAAATACATGTGTCAAAAATTTCAGTTTTTAGAGCAGCCATTATCACTCTGAAAAGAAACAGCGACTCCGATTCTTCTCCCGTTTATATCAGCGTACATCTGGAGTAGCAAAATCCAAGCCAATGTTGTTTTGGAAATGTGAAAGTAGAATGAGATTAAAATTAAACCCTTCTTTTATGTTTATAAACTGGATTTCATTTGTCTCCATTGTTTTTGATTTGTTTGCTTACTAATGTTGTCCCCGACACCGAGACCCTCATTCAGGCAGGCTCCCAAACCTCGTGCCTGACAGGTTTAAGGACCTTCTGCGCAAGAGGTGGGGCAGTATTCAATAAAGAATACAACGTGACATGCTCTCAGAGGTTAATGTATCGGTACATTTGCAAAGATAGTGTTATTTTAATTATATGTGCCTTCCAGCTTGACACCGATAAGCCACCAGCATTAGTTTGCACTAGTCCACTGACTTACACAAGTAGGAAAGTATGCCACTTGCTTCCCCTAGCTTCCCCCTAAGAGGCTGTAATTCAAAAATAGATGTTCATTACATATGTAGAATAACTTTAAAACAGAACATAGTGCTTTGGCCCCAAATAGGCTGAGATGTTATTATTATTATTGTTATTAATATAACAGAGGGCCAAACCCTGGCTTCTTTATTCATTCCCACTGAGCACGTTTTCTCCATGTGCGTAAAGCAACAGGTCATAAAGAGGTAGGGTGGCCACTGGGCTTCTCTGCGAGTTCTGGTTTTTAAAAGCATATTGTTTTAAAATAACCTCATCGTCTGCCCTGAACTGATGGATCTTTAAGATGTTTCGGGCCCAAAATCCACAGGCAGCTTTCATGTCCACTTTTGGGTGTGTATTTCAGAAGTTCTTGCATGTTGTCTGGAGTCTCTTTAACTCTTGGTATGCTGGAACCTTTGGAAGGACTCCCAGCGATTCTCCTCTGCCTTTGGACTCGGTAAAGCTGCTCTGAAGAGTGCTGCGCACTGAGAAGGCAGTCTGTTCCCAATCCTTATGATGTTGTTCTGTTTGATGGCAATCTTTTTTCTCCCTTCCCCGCTTTCCCTTTCACAAGTTAAACTTGAAAGCAGCAGCAGCAGCTATATGCTAGCACGAAAGAAATTCAACAGTCCTTTCAGTCTTGCCCGGGGGGAGGATGGGGAGCAACAGCACAAGACTCAAAAAAGAGTTTTCTTTGCTTTAATTTTTGTTTTTTAGCTTCATATTTTGAACACAAGTCGAGTTATTGTTCTGCAGCTCTGTTCAAAAGCTTCACATCTGAGGCTTTTTAGTGCAACGGTGGTTCTATGGTTAGGGGCATGGTTATTAGGTGTTTGGATCAGGTTTGGCAGTAAGCTGTGAAAACAGGCACTGGTTTATTTTTCCTACTGACTGCCGTGACAGTTGCAATTATTGTCCATTGTTCCTAGGTGGCTAGAAAGGAGGGAGGATACAATAGAGCATTGCCCTCTGGGGGTAAATGAATTTGACTTACAGGTTCTTGGGGGGTCAGGCAGGCTGATTATTTAGTGCCCAGGAATGCGGTTTTCATGGCACCGCCAGCCATGAGCGGCCAACAAACAATGGCTCAGCTGTATTGCAGCTGTATTTAGTGAGGCAACATGAAAGGTGTGCAAGTGGAGCTGTTTTATACTCACGTATGCGCGTATAAACACACATACATTATGCTAGAAAATTTTTTGTCCTTCTGTAGTGAATGTAGAATTATTAAGTTTTCCAGTTGTAATTTTTTAATTAACTTCTCTCTATATTTGGCTTGGCAGCTGCATTCTTTCCCCCCCTCATTTCTCTATTAGTGATACTTGGAAACCCCGCACAAGTAGTATCTTATTATTAATACACGCTGGAATGTGGACAGCTCTAGGAGTAGTACTGCCCAACTGTCTTATGCACTGAATAGTTTTTTCCGTTTAACTGTTCAAAATTTCATTGTGTTTTTCATTAGATCTGGGGGAGTTTTAGTACGTCATGTGCTAAAGTCTCGGCACTAGGCTACATATTGTTAATGCCCAAGTCTGTGTTATTACCATTGAGTTTTATTCTCCGGGAGAGATTAAAAGAAAGGGAGATGAAGTGGAAGACTTTATTTTCTATTAGTGTTATTTCTTTTAAGTTAGAAAGCAGTAATATTTTATTAAAGATAGGGGACTTGGTGAATGGCTGGAAGTCACCAGACTCCCACGTTTTGCATGCAGTTGTTCCTCTTAGTTGCTTTGTTACTCTAGGCAGCTACTTTAAGCCCCGCTTTCTTCATCTGCATGCCTGTAAAAATGGGAGAACCATCACTGAGTATCTGCAGAGGTCTAGCTGCAACTTCAAGATCACAGTTAGAAGGATCTATATTTGTCCAGTTACTAATGGAAAAGGAAATGTAGTATTTCATTCCAGGGCTTGACTGAAATGTACTGCAAGGAAATGCTGTTACACTTAAAATGGGGCAAAATATAGAACATTTCATATCTGTAGAAATTTTACTCAAATGCCTCTGCTTGTTTAGAGAGGTAGTTTGGGGCTAAATAAATAATGCAAGTTTGGCACTGGCGATTTCTTAAGAAATTTTGTTTTGAAATCCCTGGAATTTTTACTCTGTTCAAAACAAGTCAGTCTATAGTAAAACCCACAAAACATGCCATTAAATTGAAATGTTGTAAAATAAAGCTGTAAAACTGTGTATTGAATTGGTTAAAGCCTGTTCAAACTTACTTATATCCATCATATTCGAGAACAGGGCTCAAAAGGTCTCTGGATTATTCATGGATAATGCAGTTTATTGGATTCAGTGGAGCAGAGAGAACATCAGGTCTCAAACCGATCATCTACAGGAAGGAGAATTATACCCCCTTTCTGCACTCAGCGTAGCGCCTGATAGCTGCGCGTTGCAGGGTGAAAGTGGTTGCTTTCCTCCAAAGCAAGGTTACCAGCTGCAGCAGATGCAGCATGTAGGGTGGGCCGTTGATAGGAAAGGGTGTTAGACGTTTATTTCCATGCTCTTCAATGTCAGTGGCCATCTCCATACTTAGAAAACAAATGTGAAACTTCTTTTTCGCTCGTGTTGGGCCTCTTCTGAGAAGACTTCAGGGAATGGTGCCAGCCCCCCAGGTGGCCAGGTGCATCGTGAGGTGCACAGTCTTGCTAATGCTGATGGGAGTGAGGCAGCTTTAACCAGATGAGAACTTTTTTTAAAACTTCTGGGGTGTACAGAAAGCCTTTCTGCTAATCTTGTCCATCTTGCTTTATCGAGAGTTGTCAAGCAATGATAATACATATTTTATATGTTTCCCACTTAGCTAATTTTGAATAGGTGTGTGGAACAAAAGGCAAAACTGACTTTTGTTTCTAATCTTTCTGAGTTCGTGTTCTGTTGAAGCGAAGGCAGTTGTTAACAGTGATTGTGCCTGAATCTCTCAAGAAAGACCAGGCACGCCTGAACCTGATATTTTTTTGTTGTTTGAAAATCCTTCTCTATTGTACAGGTTAGTTCCTGAACAACTCGGGTGAAGTGTTTTCTGCACTCACTGTGAAAGGGATCATCATTAGGGTAAAAGCAGCTCTTCGTTGGTAGCCACTTAAATCTAGGTGACTCCAAAGACTGTACTGGAGTAACCACAGATTTGTGAGCGTAATTGAAAGCAAGATTAGCCTACCAGTCCTAATCTTTAATGCATAATAACACAGATGTTTGTTTAGTGCAAGAAACTGGATTCCAAGTTATGTGAAGTATCAGTGCAGGTATTATATCAAGCTGTGTTTGATGCGTGATAGAGCTGTGTTTGCTGAAGACTCTAATCTTGCTTCCGTGTTCAGAAGATGGGGCATGAGAGAGGATGCAGTCGACGGTCTTATGACTGCCAATAATGGATAAAGAGAAATAATCCATTCAGCGATACTATAGCTCATCAGAGCCTATGAATTAAAGACATATGTTATGTAGATTCAATGTATGGATTAAAATGGATAATCTGGTAGGTGACACACAGAATCTTGAGATAAGTGGGCTATGCAGATTCGGTATATGGATTGTGACGGATAATTCCATTTAAGTAATGCTGCACAAGTTGAAGACAAGTAAGCTTCGGGTAGTGCTCAGGTTATGTGCAGTAATCCAGTGAGTGACACTTTGGATCGCATAATCTGTAAACTGAAGGCAAGGAAGATAGGGATTTTGCGTTCAGATGTGGACAGGAGGAAGGAGGGGGAAGGGGAGAGAGATTATTCATGGGGAATACACTGGGTTTAAACCTTTGACTAATAAAGCACAGAT